TATACTTGGAGAGATTTCACATACTTGGAGAGATTTGGGAGAGATTTCACATACTTGGAGAGATTTAGGAGATATTTGCATTCTAACTCTACATGGCTCATTAGGAACTCATATTGTACACTTAGAAGTGTTAGCACAAGTCTCACAATAGTCCTTGCTTACTTGAGGGCGGAATTTCCTAGCCAAAAAGGCTAGTTGTGACACTATCTCTAAGGTATACTCCCATAAATGAATAGGAAGAGAAGCTCGAATCATCATGGAACGAACCATATCTAGTAAGGTTCGATTACGCCTCTCAGCTACACCATTAAGTTGTGGTGTTCTAGGGCGAGTCAATTGTGACACGATTCCACATTCCTTGAGATAGTCGTGGATATCGATACTAAGATACTCACCACCTCTATCAGATTTGAGCATCTTTATCTTCCCGCCTAATTGATTCTCAGCTTCGTGCTTAAACTCTTTGAACTTTTCAAAGGTTTCTGATTTATGTTTAATTAAGTAGATATAACAATATATGCTATAGTCATCCATAAATGTCACGTAATATCGATTAGCATCCTTTGTGGTGGATCTAAATGGTCCATATAGATCCGTATGGATTAGGTCCAATAATCCTTCACTTGTTTCACATGATCCAGAGAAAGTTGATTTTTTCATCTTGCCCAAGAGATAAGATTCGTATTCATCATATTTCCTAAGACCAAATGATTCCAACACTTCATCCTTTTGGAGTTGGGCGATGCATTTCTTGTTTATGTGCCGAATATGACAATGCCATAAACATGCCTTGTCCACACCATTGGATGAATCAATATGAAGCACAATATTTCCTAGGTTATCCACAAAAGTAACATTTTCATACACACCATTACAAAGTAAAGCTTTAAACATAAAAACACAATTATGAAAAACATAAATAGATCCAATATCATTATTAAATGAATATCTAAAACCTTGTCTAAATAATGCATGAAATGAAATAATGTTTTGCGTCATATCCGACGAATAACAACAATTAATCAAATTAAACCTAACATCACTACCGCACAAGTTTATAAGTTCCAATCTTGGTAACAAGTGAACACCGCATATTTCCTATGATCAGGTTCAACCTTCCATGCTCCACTTCCTCACTTTCTCTTAGTCCCTACAAATCAAAACAAGTATGGAAATCACATCTTGTATCAAGGACCCAATAATGAGAAGGTTGTGTGTTACTAACTTGAATAGTGTAAATACCTGAAGAGGACACCTTGATTTTACCATCCTTCAAGTCATGCAAGTATTTCAGACAGATTCTTCTCCAATGACCCTCCAACATGGGCATTCGCTTCCCTGCTAGATTAGGAAGGAGCCTTCCTTTTTTCCCTTTTCCGAATCCAATGGCCACGACAGGAGAACTTGTTGCAGAATTGCCATTAGTTTTCTTCATCCCCTACTCAGCTGTTTGCAACAAGTTATGGAGTTGGGTCAATGTTGTCTCCATTTTGTTCAAATGATAAGTCATAATGAACTGATTATAACTAGGAGGTAAGGAGTTATGGACCATGTCAATGGCCAACTCCTCGTCAAACGACACCTTGAGCCATTGTAGTTACTCCACATACCTTTTCATCTTTTGTACGTGAGGGAAAACAGATTCTCCTTCCGTGAGCTCGCATGCCATAATAGATTTGAACACTTCAAAGCGCTCTTCTCTTGCCTTCTTGTAGAACTCTCTAGCAAGGTCGAGAGCCATCTCATATGGTCAGTATTCCTTATATAACTTGGCCAGCTCAGGTGTCATAGTCACTACCATGATGCATGCAACCTTAGTGGCGTCATAAAAATGTTTGTCATCCAGTCCATGTAGTTGGGACTAGTGAGCTTATTTTTTGATAGAATCGAGAGTAATGCGAAGTTTAAGTTAGAGGGGGTAGATTTAGTAGTAGCGAGATCATCATTTCCAGACATATATATAAAGAGACATAGGTTTTAGTTAGTGATATAAATCATTAGTATTTTAACCCAAAATAAATATTCAAGGCTAGGATCCAAAATACATTTCACAACAAAGAAGATGGATGGTGTAATCTAATTGTGAATTTATTAAGCTAGGTAATACAAATTTACCAATTTCAATCTAACATGAAATTCCTAGATCATTTGAGATTCATTGAAAATTATCAATGACATGTTTAATCTTAGATTATACTCTTCAAATTTGTGATTGGGATGCCGAGAATCACAAATAAGATATGGATAACCATGAAACGCGCTTGACAACCTCGATGTCATTTATCATCTCGAATTAATGTGTCGGTAAACCACACACGCTCCATTAACAATGATGATTTTCGATTTTCCGTTACTCAACTTTATAGTCACAGATTAGTGTGTTGGTTAACCACGCACACTCCACTAACGACATATAAAGAGTGATGTGCATTTTCATGAATTAGCATACACTTCACATTTTTGTCCTAAAGTAACTAAAGTTGGGATTTATTCAAAAGGTTCTATTCCTTTAATAGCATCATACTTTTAAGAGGTTATGTTCTATCAATTATGTTCGACTAATGAGCCACCATCATACAAGGGAGCGGTGGGTGAGAGTGGGCACCCACTCAATGGTCATTTTATAGGCCGCTTCCTTATATCCCCCCTTAGAGTATGGCTTCGTGAATGTGGCGTACTAGCGATTTGACTGACTTGTCTTATACATATAATATATTAATCTTTTAATCATATATAGTATAAAGTGTACTTTAAAACTTTCAAAAATACTAGGGTTTAAAATTAATTTTCAAATTAAACCATTAATAATTAATTAATTTTAAACTAAGTGATGATTTAATCTTTTATCTTAATTAAACAAATTTAAATCATATTATTTACCAATTAAACAATTAGTTAAATCATACGGATTAAATAATTATTTAACAATTAAACAATTAATTAAATAATTCAAATTTAATCCTAATCCCTTGGCTTCTAATTTTTGAAAAAAGGGTAAGGGTTACCAGTTTTAATTATTCAAATTTGGAGGCATTTAAAATTGTAATGAAGGAAACTAGAAAATGGATCCTCCCTATTTCAAAAACAAAGGTGGGGGCTAGGGTTTCAAGAACCCTAGCCATTATCGATATTTTGAGCCTTCAGGGTTTAATTTCCGTAAATCCTAATTTTGATCAATTTATTTTAGTGCACAATCAAATAGAAAACTAAGGTTCTGATACCATTGATAGGTTTTCTAGGTTATAAAAAACGTTCATGTGGGGGAAAACTCTTAAACCCTTAAGTTCACATGCAACCTAGAAAAGATCTATGTTTTTTCTATTGATAGCAACTAACTATGAATATCAGGAAACCCTAGTATAATCGAAATTCACAAAGCATTTAGGGTTACATACCTTTGAATTAATATAATAATTAATTAGGTAAAATCGCCTTTGACTTCCTTGGAAAGCAAGCACAAAAAGCTTGGATGCCTCTAGTGATTTGTACATAAAACCCTAGCAAGTAGAAGACTTTTCTAGAAAGGAGAAGAGAGCAAATTTTCGGCTCTTGTGTGTGTAATGGGATGGAAGAAATTAAGGAAACCTTAAGGGGTTTATATAAGTGAGTAAGGAAGTTTAAATAAGTCAAGTATCCTTAGATAACCCTTATCCCTTTTCTTGCTCCCTAAGGCTCCTAGAAACTAAATGTAGCCTCTAAAACCGTCCCCATGTGTGGGAAGGTTTTGTAATCCTTCAATGCTCAACTTTTGAATGTTGACACCTTCAGTCCCTGTATTTTTCAATTAATCTAATTAATCACAAAATTAATGTAATTTAATTTTTTATTAATTCTTAATTAATAAACATAATTTCTAATTAATATATTAATCATATATTTTTGTATATATATATATATATATATATATATATTAATAAATTTTTTATTTTGATTTCTAATTAATTTATTAATCATATAATAATTTAATAAATCATCATTTATCTCCAAAAGTCATTCTATTCAGTTACTAGTTATGAGGCAACCCAAAAAGGACTTTGCTCACAATTCAAGAATATACCAATTTAGTTATTAACTTAGACACCCTAATCCAACATCTTTACCAACGACAAGTTGTCAGTAAAATGTCATCGACATACCCTCGTCGTTGGAAGTGAAAAAAGTCGTCGAGATATGTACTCCGTATAACTACAACACGTCATCGACACATGGTCTGTCGGGAATGATTATCGAAAAAAATAAAGTTTTATTACTTGTACCGACAACATGTCGTTGGTATAGGTCAACTCTATACCGACGACATGTCAACCTTATAGCAACGACAATTTCGTTTGAAAAAAGTTATAACTGTTTTTATAGTTTGAACTATACCGACGACATGTCGTTAGTATAGGTCAAAACCGTTTTCACAGTTAAGACCTATATCGACGACTTGTCATTGGTAGAGCCTTTTCTTTTAATATTTTTCACAAATTCTATAATTACCAAACTTTTTTAAAACAAACCCATACACTATGAAGCGTAATTTCATAACAGACTACTAAATAAACATAACAAACCCACATAGTTCAAATTCAAGATATAAATTCTATAGAAAATGACATAAATTTCACACGATGTTTCTAGGGTTGGTCCATTTAGTCCCTAAGGTATTTTCATATATTTATGAGGGCATAAACTAGTTTTTGTCGGGTCTATTAGGTCCTTTTGGAAGAATTGAAGGGGTATACCAGTTACCCCTTGCCACATAAGCATTTCTTAGAACCCTATTTCCCTTGACCTAGGTATGTGATAAATAATCTTCCCTTTGTTATTCAATTAACAAGAAATTGGATCTTACACAAATCCACGACAACATTTTCCTGGTTCTTCCCTCCCTATCGTTCCTCATCCTTGACAAACTTTCCTCATCCTTGACAAACTACCAAAGTCCCTGATCAACACAAACTCTTGGCATGATGTTGGAGGACATAGGCGGTGATTTCTATATGATCGGTTGAGTGATGGATGTAGCGGTGGTTGAACCTTCTGGTTTTAGACCAGAGAGGTATCTCTTCAAGAGAGTCATGAGGTTTTCACTCGGGTATTTCCTTACAAACTGAAGTATCAATTGTCCTCGTCATCTAGGAAATTAGGGCTCCCTAATTTAACAACTCAATCCCAGTTACACTTTTCAACAAGGGCATCCAAACACAGCTATGAAGTCGATCTGCTAAGAGGAGCGAAGGATTCAGGTAGTTCAGAAAGTAGAATGGATTTGGAAATGGAAGATGAGGGAAGGATTAAGGTAGTTCAAGAAGGAGTGGGTGATTTTGGTGGTGAAGAAGAGACCAAAAATCAAAGAATAGTTTTATGTTACATACATTTAACTGATTATATTCATTCTCTTTGAGATCTGATATGGAAATTAAGTACCTGATTATGTTTTTGATGATCTTGAAAGACGTGAATTTGCAACAGTAACATATGGGAGCATTTCCGTAAGCGTGAGGGGAAATGGAGCTGTAATGATGCAGAAGGGAGGTGATGACTCAAAGAAAGCGAGTACTCCATGGGTTCCAGATCCAGTTATAGGTTACTACAAGCTAGAGGGACAAACCTCTGTGAACAGATGTTGAAGCACAAAACTCGTGGATAGTAAAGCAAACTCATTGAAATTCATCTCCAGAAAGGAGAATGGATTTGGAAATGGAAGAGAAGGGAAGGATTCAGGTAGTTGAAGAGGGAGATGATGATTTAGTGGTGAAGTAGAAAGAAGAAATGAAAGATTTTATCATGATAAAAAAAAGAGAGGGTGATGGGTTTGTGTTTGGATCCGGTAACAAAGAAATTGTAAAAATATGATGTTGACTTTCCAATGGCTGATGTGGCAAAATAGCTGACTTGACATTTAAACCTGCGAAAATAAGTTATGGTGACTAAAAAAGCAGTTTGATTCCTACCTTATGCTCCTATAAAGCAAGAAAAATACTTTAATGACCAAATGGACCAACCCTAGAAACTTCGTAGGGAATTGAAGCAAGAAAAATACTTTAATGAACAAACATTGTTCAAAATGATAGAATAGATCAATCATCATCACCTTCTTTCATCTTCTTAGTTTCATCGGTCTCGTTGGTTTGTACAGGAGCATTTTTTAGAAACATATTAGGATTAAATTAAAATTTTAGCATTGGTGTTGGTTGGTAGTTAGGAATTGAGGCTACTAGTGAGTCGTTATATCCTTTATTCATTTGTTGCAAGTATTCTTGGAATTGTTGGGTTAATGCAATAAATTGAGAATCACTCATATTTTGGGGTTGGGATTAGGAGAGGTGGAGATGGTTGATTTGCGTATAAATTATTGTTTGGTGGCTTCCTTCCAACCCTGTGAGTATCTTCGCGTCTCTTGCAGACGACACAAATGAGACATTCAGCCTCATTTACATCTTCGTCCTCCGCGGCATCTTCTTACATTTTCGTATACTCCTATGCTAAAATAAAGAAAACAATAAACATACATTAATTATAACAAATAACTAAATTTAAACACTAAAATAATAATAATATACCTTAAACAAAAAACTATAATAATAACATTTTTAAACAATGTATTAATTTTGTTTATTACTTACATAATCTTTTTCTACTTGACGCGTACACTAGCCCGAGCTTCCTTGAAGCACATTTTTCTCCAACCCTGAATATGTTGTGGCTTCTATCCTTCTTCTTCCTATAATAAGCCAAATGCAATTAATATATTTCTATAAGTGTTAATAAAAAAATTTATATAATAAAAATAAATTTTATTACCTCCATATGGCGTCTTTGAACATATGAAGCACAACCATGACCATCTGTATGCGGAAGTAGCGATCTACAACATTTATTTTTTTACTGACTTACGCATATAAGCCGGTGTTAAAAACAGTTCATCAATCAATTCATTCCAATTTTTTTCTTCCCAACTAGGCGATGGATATCTTCTTGCATTTTGCACGTCCCTATATCCGCCAACATTGTCAAAATGATATTTCGGATCATGCTTTTGTTCTTTATACGCTTTTGGCAGTCGACTTGGATACCCGATCAAACGGCTTCCCACAAATTTGTACCCCGCAATCTATTAATATCAAAATGGGCTTGTAAAAAACATATTTTATTACTAAAAGAAATATTTAAAAAGTGTAAAATTGAATACATATAAAAAGTATTGTATACCTACATCTAACTCATGATATACAACTTCTTTGTAATAAACAGGATCAAGCTTCCAAGATGGATAATGATTTGGTAGCCTTGATGCCACATGAGTTGAAATCAACCTAACAAACAATTTCAAGTATTTCCCTATGAATTGGAAGGTCTCCCCGATGGTATCAATATTCACGGGTAATGGCTTTTAATCGTTTTTCCTATACTCTTCATAAAGTTTCAAGTTTCTTCCTCTGTCATGCTCATTCTTTTGGTTTGATAAATTGACACACAAAAGTGGAAATATAGAAATTTAGAACTTTAATAATATATCCAATACTTAAGAATTTCATGTAACTTACAAGATTCGCAACCCAATGTTATCCTATGTGCGCCCTCATGTGGAGGTCTTTCCCCGCCATCTCCTCTATGTCCCATCGCAGAATGTGTTGCAATATGTTTAACAAATATTATAAAAATCCAAATATATAATAAACGTATTTTAAACAAAACTTATAAGAAATATTTGAAAATTTAATAAATATTATAAGCAATTAGAATAAATAATAACTGTAAAATATTGTCAATTAGAATCATCACTAGAACAATATACATGGACAACATCATCATTGTTGTCATCATTTTTGTTATTTATTTCTTCTTAATTATATAAAGAACGTATCATCACTACCAACATCTGTTGGGTTTTAGTTCAAAAATAGTTTCAAAAACTACAAAATACGGCAAATAGAAGACATAATTTTTTGAAATAACGTAAACATTTTATACCCACCAAGGATCTTCTTGCAAGTTATAGAAAGATTAAAATACTGTGACAACCCAAAACTTGTTCCATTATCCTTACCCAGCTTCCGTTAATAAAATTTGGGTTTTTATTTAATTCCGTCAAATTTCTTAGTTTGGGAAGGACCTTACGTTTTAAAATAAATCAATTCGGATTTATTTCCGTTCACGTTAGTATTATTTTTGGTCTAAAGGAATATTCTAAGCTCAGTTCAATTGAGTTTTGGATTCAAAAACGAGGTTTTCTAAGTCAAAGCATAGCATCCGGGCCAAACAACCCTTCGAGAGGAGTTTACGGCCGCAAACTCAGTTTACGACCGTAAACTCTGTTTACGACCGTGAACCCTATTCACGGCCGTAAACCCTCCACCCCACCCCTTGGCCGTAAACTCACCCCTATATAAGGGATAAGTGGCCTTCATTTCTCACTTTACACATCTCAGGAGCTTTCTCTATCTACTCTCTCTCTCTCTCTCTCTACAAACTTCGAATTTGCTCAAGGATCCTCAAGAATGTAAGTGATTCTTCACTTTGATTGTGTGTCTATCCTTATTCTAGTGATGAATCCATGTCTCATCTCCTAAATTTCATCATTTTCCATATTTTCTCTCTCACCAAGAACACCAAGAACACACACTAGTTCTTGGTGGCTAAAAACCTCATTCCAAGCTTCCTAACAGTAAGTAACTACCATCTGCACTTGATATCTACTAGAAACCATCGATTTTCGCCTAAAAAATCGACCTGAAACGCATGAACTGAGTGTTTACGGCCGTACACCCTTCGATGGCTGTAAACTCCATTTTTGGTCGATTATTGGCCTTTAAACTCTTCCTTAAACTGTACACGAGACTTAGGACACTTCTAGAAGGCTAGAAAGGACCTTGAAACACCGAAAATCGCATCTTTCACCAAGTGTTTACGGCCGTAAACACATGGGCCGTAAACCCATAGGCCGTAAACCCATGGACCGCAAACACTTGGGCCGTAAACATATGGGTTGTAAACCCTGTTGGGCTGCAAAACCTTGACCGTACACTCCTTTTACGACCGCAAACTCCCCATTTTCAATCACATGTGATTCTAACACTTAGTTTTAAGTGTTTCCTAGTCCCTAAGGTGGTTCTTTCCATAACAACTAGTGTGTATGCCCTCACCTAATGCATATATGTACTTTTACATGCTAAATAGGATCCGTTTGTACCCGAGGCTTTATTTGACACTCAACAATTCCTAGCAACTTACAATCGAATCCCACGTCAAATAGTGAGTTCATACCCCTACGCTTTTCCGAGTTTTTCATGTTTTCAGGGGGAATACAAGCAAAAGTACAAGGAAACTTGTGCTCAAAGTATATTATTTTGTTTAAAATAATTATATGTTCAGTATGCTTTTAACATAGAAAACAGTTTTACCAAACGATTAAGAAATCAACTCGTAGAAACAGTTTTCAAAACTAAAGCAATGAACTTGTGAATCTTGTCATAAAAGGTGATATTTTATAAAGGATCCATACAAATCATAAACAGGATTTTCGGTATTATTACATGCAAATTGTTAGTCTAAAGTTAGAGACATGTCCTTGGTAACACTCCCACCGAATTCGAGAGTGTAGGACTAGCACTTGTAACCAGAATCTCTTGTAGGGAGAGCGTGACTATTGTGTATAGATCTATACGGGACTGACTATCCCGCACCTCGCTGCTAGCTACAGTTGGACCATCAGGTCTACGGGTGACAAAGTCATAAAAAGATACGGGCCCCGTTACGTGTCATATCAAGTCTAAGTACGGTTATGACACTCGCAACCTAGATAACAGAATTTACTTTTGTAATAATGAAACAAGTGAACTAACCTCAAAGTAATAACCGATTTGATTACTAGAGGGTATTAATAATATCCTTAGGATTTAGTTCACCACTTATTTATTAGTTTTATTTATGTAATAAGGCTAATACACCTTACAGAGAGCAAACAGGGTTTTTCAAGGAAACTACGCCTAACGATACAAGTATGGTAGATACTTGTACACCTCAGACAAGAACAGATAACCAACTATCAACTTTTAAGGAAAATATAGGATTTTCCTGGGATAACTCAACCTTACATAAACAGGCTGTTAAACAAATAACGAATGGATAATCAAACATCTTTCATAAGAAAATATAGGATTTTCTTGGGAAACACTTTTCAAAGGATCAAAGAAACATTTCTTTCACCAGAACTAAACGCTTATGAACTCACCAGCTTTATGCTGATATTTTAAAACTGCTTGTATTCTCAGGGCAACAATAGACAGGTACTCTTGCCAACTTTTGGAGAAGACGGAGCATTTTGGAGTCACGTCTTTTACTTTTGTTATATACTGTTATGTACAAACTATGTTTTCAAACATATGTAAATAATCATATTAATGTAATGGTTGTGTTTACTTCGCTTGCTATGATACAACTGTTGTGATACTACGCATGACGTCACCCGTCCCCGGACGTTTCCGCCGTCCGTTCCGACGGTTCGGGGTGTGACAGATTGGTATCAGAGCTATTGTTTATAGTGAACTAAGTATACCGAACCTTACATGGTATACAACTATAAACACAAAGGGGCTGAAGTGCTCTGAACTAAAAGTATACTTTTAAA